GACTGGCCTTGAATTCAGAGATCAGCCTGCCTTGGTCTCCCAAGTACTGGGACTAAAGATGTGCACCACCATGCTCAGCTCCAAAGCCTTTTTAAGGTGAGCCCTGACCTCCAAGTCTAGGCCTAGTCACACCCTGGAACCCCTCCTCTGCTGCCCTCCAAGTCTTAACTACGAGGCTAGCAGATAGACCCAAGTTCAGTGAGAACTATACATGAATTCTTAGTAAAACTGCATCACCCTTGCTTATCTACAGTCCACATTTAAAAACCAGGTGCCCTTATTTCTATTAGCTAAACCTGGCCTTCAGGAGCAAGTAAGTGGTCCTGAAGAAGGGAAACTGGTGGACCCAGAAATAGCTCTAGGTCAGCTGGGCCCCACTAAGGGTCAAGGAGAAAGGTGTGTGAAATGAGAGGCATATACTCCCTGTCTAGACACCCCGTGAGTCACCCCATGTGAGTCCATCCATTGAAGAAACTGAATTTACCTCCCAGGAGCCTCTTACTGTCCTTAACTGTCACCTGGGACACTGAGTCTGAAATTGACTTAAGCATCCCATCACAAATGGTCTCAGTCAGATGCTTCTAGAACAATAACCTTAGGTGCCTGGTGCAGAGGTGCAGATTCCTCTTGGGTCATGGGGCTGAGCCAAGAGGGGAACCCAGGCTCACCAGTGTCCCATGTTGTTCCTGTCTACATTCACCAAACCACTGAACCTAACCGATCATTAGCCCAGGGAGAGCAGAGTAAAGGGACGGTGAGCCAGCAACTGATGAGATGGAGTTACAAGCATTATTTTTCTATTTTTAAAATTATTTATTTTTAAGTGTATGGGTGTTTTGCCTGCATGTACATAAGTACACCACGTGTCTGCAGAAGCCAGAAGAGGGCAGTGGGACCCCCTGAAACTGAAGTTATGGACAGCTGTTAGCTGCCGTGTGGGTGCTGGGTCCTGAACCTGGGTCCTTTGCAAGAACAGTCAGTGCTCTTAACTGCTGAGCCATCTCTCTAGCCCCTATTTTTCTATTTTTTATTTATTTTGCATGTGTGTGTGCACCTGTGTGTGCACGCAGAAGCCAGAAGTCATGAAATAGGTGAGGCTGGCTGGTCAGCAAGCCCCGGGAACCTGTATGTCTCCACTTCCCCAGCACTGAGTGATAAGTACACTCTACCACACCTGCTATTTTACATGGGTGCTGGGGAGCAAACTTAGGTCCTTGTGATTGTACAGCAAGCACTTCACCCACTTAGCTATCTCTCCAGCCCAAGTCAGGGCCGTGAAACAAGGGAGATGCATGCTAAGCAGGGCTCTCTGCTCCCCAAATCTACTCCACCTCTCTAGGCCACGGGCCCCTCAACCACAAGCTTGCCACCTAAGAGATGCCTGGACTGTGAAGCGCCAAAAACACACCAAGGAAGTTTTTCTTCCAAAAAGCATCAGAGAAGAACCTTGCTCCTCTGACAAGGATTCTAGGAGGCTGGCCCTCCTGTCCTATGTGGTATCCCACATCTATACATCCGAGCCTCTAGAGTCGCCCTGCCACCAACTACTGCTCACATTCCACTGTGCCCTAGTCAGGCACATTTCTCTCCTCCTTTCTCCCCTGAAATTCACCCTTCTCCAGGCCGTCCCTACTGTACACTTCTGCTGGGACTCCCTTCTATTCCCTAAAGGGTCTGTGTCTCCATCTCACTCCATTCTGGTAGCTCCTCTATTCAACTTGAATTCAAGTCAGGTATAGTGACACTTGCCTGTAATCCTAGTATTAGGGAGTTCAAGGCCAGCCTGGATTACATACTGAAACCCTGTTTAAAAAAAGGAAGAGGGGCACTGGACAGAGGGCTCAGTAGTTAAGAGCACTGGCTGCTCTTGCAGAGGACTCAGGTTCAGTTCCCAAGCACCGCCACGGCAGCTAATAACTGTCCTTAACTCCAATTCTGACGCCTCATCTGGCCTCCACGGGCACCAGGTACGCATATGACATACTTACATTCATGCAGACAAAACACTCTCATACACATAAAATAATACATACACACAAAATAATAAAATTTTAAAACAGAACTGAGTGTGGAGCCTAAGCCCTCAGTCAGGTCCTGTTCTGTCCTCTGGGGTTTCTGAATTAACCCCACCAATCTCACTCTTCAAGTGTCAAGGCCTTAGCAGGCCCCAGGCTTGTGCCAAAGAAACTGGCTTGTGTCCCTGGCTCCCTGGCATATGAGATGCCCACTCACAGTAGAGCTTCAAAACAGAGAGACACAGGAGGGATATAATTTGGGGAGTGAAGAGTCAGGTTCAGCTTTGGAGAAACACAAAGCCTGGGGTGATGGAAAGGGGGATCCCCCAGGAACCAGAAATGGAAGATTAGAGAAAGACACTAGATCTCCCACCACAGTGAGGAACCATGCCAGAGATGAAAATCAACCAGAGGGCCTGGTGGCTTGTGCCTATAATACCAGCATTCAGGAGGCTGAGGCAGGAGAATTGCCCTGAGTTCTAGGTCAGCCTGAGCTATGTAGGAAGTACCTCTCTAGCCTAGGGCGACATAGTAAGACCCTTGTCTCAACCCTGCACCCCCCCCCCGCAAAAAAAGTAAGGATGGAAAATTAACAAGGAAGATTTAATTCACTCATTCATTCATTCCAATATATAATCACTCAGCAGTTTCCTGCCTATCCCTACAAACATAGGGACAGATGTGAACAGTGATGTGACACCAATGTAGGGAAACCCAGGATGGTATGGCCAGCTCTATAGACAAGGGTACCACGGCCAGGTCAAATCTTGAAGTCAGAAAGAAAAGAAGATTCTATAACCGGGCATCCCTCCCTTAGCCAGGCTGGGAAGACAGCAGGATCTGGGGAGAGGAACCAGGGTCCAGATTGGGCTGGGAGATGCAGGCTGTAGTTCTAAGTGACACTTAAGACATGTATACCCCAAGCCATCCTACCAGAGGGGCCCAGCTCGGGTCTCTGACAACCCAGCTATTACCCAACTATGCATGCTTCAATCTTTGCACACTCAGCAACTCAACAACCACATCTATTATTACATCTGCTGTTCTGACCACTTCCAAGCACCAGGCACTAGACGGCTGCATGTGTCAGAGGCCCGGCTGAGCTACTGGAAGCCCGCCTTAAACGATATCAAAAATGTTGTTAGCACACTACAAATAAATGACCATTCTCCCCCAAATCCAGACAACAAAGCACTTAAGTAAGTTAGGTATATCCCCTAAAGATATTGTCCCCAATACCAAGTTCTGTGGTGAATTTCCAAGGACCAGACAAGGAGTGCTACAGAGTTCCAACCCTTCCTTGTTTCCCTGGCTGGGGTCCACTGGGACCCTAGGAGTTGGAAATTAGGATTTCTAGGTCATCCTCGGAACAGGCTACTGAATGAGATACGTGTAAGCCATCAGCAACCCAGAAGCAGGTTGGAGTGGGGGTGTTCTGACACCTCCAGGTCAGGCCTGTTTCTAGGTCTGCTGGTGTAGCTGCTTTAAAGAGGCCAAAGTCAATCTCACACCCTCCTGAGGCCCTAAGCAGGTGACTTATGATGGACAGAAAGCCAACAGTACCTCCACCCCACCTTGCTGCCCTAATGCCCAGCCTAGCCCCTACAGACCTGGAGCCATCAAGCTTCCTAACCACTTCCTTTTGCTCTAAACAGAATAATCGATGCCGGTGCCCCCCACCTCTGGGAATGACGTTGCTAAAATAAATGAACAGAGGCCCCTCCCAAGCCCAGAGGCCAGGGGGCCACCAAACAAGAGCAAGCAGCCCGCTGACCACCCCAGGAGTAGCTCTGTGCTCTGAGTGGTAAGTGAAGCCCCTTGCAAATGCCCACTCCCTTAAAAAGCTGCCGAGGCTCAGGCACCACATCCCACATCCCAACATACTCCATAGGCGAGCCAGGGTTTCCCACGTGCCTGCAGGAAGACCCCCCCGCCCCCCGCCTTCCCCGCGCTGCCCAGCTCCTGAGTTCCCTCACTTCACCAGGATGGGGACCAAGGAACTACCACCACAAGTCTACTCCTGGGAGGCTGGGTCACTGGGACAGAGGCCAGAACTGAATGAAGGCCCCTCTAGCCACGCCGAAATGGCAGAACTCTCAGCCACACTGTCCCCCGGCTGCCCTGGGGCCCAGGCCAGGGAACCGTTTCACTCCCTGGCCCCAGGCTGGCTGCGAAACTGGGTGTTCACACTCATTACTCCTAGGGACTCAGGAGGTTGGGGAGGGGGCTGGACGCTAAGCACTCCCTAGCCCCTCCCCCGCCTCTGTAAAAACTCAAGAGACCACCCACAGACCAGGCTCCCCAACTTGTTCCTTGGCACCCTCAGTGCCCCACCTTAACTGCTACTCTTAAAGACTCTTCACCCCCAACCAGCCACAGAAGATTCAGCACCCCACCCCATGCAAGCCAGCCCCTCTCTAGGACGACCCCCAAAAGAAACCACTGGTCTGGGGCAATGTGGGAAGACTCCGCTTGAGTTGGGGTGGGGGGAGAAGAGGGGGAGGTGGTCCGCAAGGCCTCTTCCCAGCAACCCCTCCACCAACCTCCCACCGCCGGGCACTACTACTGACCTCATTCGCCCAACCGTATCCAGGCCTGTGGGCTCCAGGCCAGGGGGGCGCCCCCCTATCCACCTCCAGGGAATGTGGGGGTGATAGGGGTGACTGCTTCCCGATTCCGGCAGGTGTGGGGAGGGGAGAATCTGACCATCCCAACCCATCCCCCTCCAAACTCAAATTATAATCCCGATCACGTGCACAGCCCCCCCTCAAAAGGCGGGCCTTAGAATTGAGACACCTGGAGGGGGAGGGGAGGGGAAGGGACCTCCCATGCACACAACACACAGAAAGGGAGGGGTGGGTGTGCAAAATAAGGGGGAACCAAGGCCAAGGCGAGCTCCAGAGCACCCCCTCTCCATCATCCCCACCCCATCCCGCACTCCCATCCCCCCCCAAGTCAAACTTTCTCTTTTTTTTTTTTTTTTACCTTGCAGGGTCCCCAAGCGCTCCGGGCGCCCCGGCCCCGGCCCGGTGGCCAGGACTTAGTGGATCCAGTCACCTCCGGTTGCTGAGTTAATAATCCGGGAATGGGGGACAGGATCGGCGGAGGGAGGGAGGGCTGGAGGGAGGGAAGGAGGGCGGACGCGGTGCGGGAGGCCGGCCGGGGGGCTGCGCGGGGCCCCCACCCCCGGCGCGGGCTGCGGCGGAGGGCGGGGCGCGGAGAGCGCGGAGCGGAGCCCGGGCTCTGGGAGGCTCTTTGTTCTGTAATCCCAGTAAGATTGCCAGCCATTCGCCCCGGCCCTAATCCCAGCCCCGCGCAACACCACCCTCCATTGGCTGCCATTTACATACGGGATTAGCCCGCCCGGCCCGCCCCGTGCCATGGTTGGGGGGAGGAAACCCAGCGGACTGCACCCCACAAGCCTGGCGTCTTGAGACTCCCCCAGCCGCGGATTAGAACCCCCTTCCCCCGGGGATCCGGAGACATCAAGGTCACCCAGAGGACGCCCACGCCTGAAGGATCCCTATGTGGCTGAACTGCTTGCTAGTCACTCTTATCCTGGGGTGTCCAAAGTCGCAAGAGGGGGAGGGTCCCCCAGGTTTCCCAGGCCTTTTTATTTATGTATTTATTTATTTATTTATTTATATTTCAGTTTATGTTTTTGAGACATGGTCTCAGCTAGCCCAGGCTGGCCTCAAACTGGCTAGGGTGCTGGGGATAGCTTTGAGTTCCTGATCTTCCTGGCTTCACTTCTGGAGGGTTAGGATTACAGGCCTGGTCCCCATACCAAGGATCACTCAAACCCAGGGCTTTCTGCATTCTAGGAAAACACTCTACCAACTGAGCTCTATCCCCAAACCTTATTTTATTTCATTTATTTATTTATTTATTTTTATTTATTTATTTTAAGGCAGAGTTTTGTAGCCTCAAAGTAACTATATAGCTGAGGCTGGCCTTGAACTCCTGATCCTCCCACTTCTTCCCAAGTACTGGGATTACAGGTGAGTACCACCACACCGATTTTTCTGACTCGAACTTTTACTTTGTCTCTCTCATCTCCTGAATGCTACTGAATCAAGGGGTACACCCCCACAGCCTCCCTAAAGCCATATGTCCTAATTCAACACAACAGTTCATCACCAGGCAGTCCTTATGAGCCCTGGCTAAGCCTTTACAGGGTTAGGCACAGTAGATAGAGAAATATATCAGGCAGGCCCCCAACCACCAGGGAGGTCCTGATTTAGATGCAGTGAGTCAGAGGTAGACTGAGGCAGGGTATCATGGGGCATACCAATAATCTCAGCCCTCAGGAGGCTGAGGCAGGAATGTTGTGAGTTTTATGTCACCCTGAGTTCCATAGTAAGTTCCAGGCTAGTCTGGGCAACTTAGACTCTGTCTTAAAATAAAAACATATTTTAGGAGCTGGAGAGATGGCTCAGTACTTAAGAGCACTGGCTGCTGTTGCAGAGGACCTGGGTTTGGTTCCCAGTACTCACGTGGTGGCCAACAACTGTTCAAAATTTCAATTCCAGTGGATCTGATGCCCTTTTCTGGCCTCCATGGTCATAGCATGCACATGATACATACATGTAGGCAAACACGCATATACATAAATATATGTATGCATATATATAAAACTTTTTTTTAAAGAGTGACTGGAGGGGTGGCTCTGGTTAAGAGAGCTTGCTGCTCTTGCACCTACATGGGTTTGATTCCCAGCACCTACATGGCAGCTCACAACCCTCTATAATTCCAGTTTCAGAGGATTCAGTGCCCTCTTCTGGCCTCTGCAGGTACCAGGCACACACATGGTACACAGATATACATGCAGGCAAAAACATACATATAAAATAAAAATAAATCTAAGCCAGGTGTACTGGTGCATGTCTTTCATCCCAGCATTCAGGAGGCAGAGTCAGCAGATTTCTTTGAAATCGAGGCCAGCCTCATCTACACAGCAAGTTCCAGACCAGATGTGGCTACAGGGAGATCCTGTCTCAAATAAATATTTTTTAAAAATTAAACTTTTAAAAAGAGTTAGACTTTGTGGCTGAACTCTGTAATCCCAGGACTTGGGGTCTGAAACAGAATTGCTGAGAGTTTGAAGCCCTTCCTGGGCTATGAGATCTTGTCTCAGAAAACACACACACACACACACACACACACACACACACACACGCACACACACACGCACACACACACAGCATACACCATGGCAGAGTAATGTGTATCTCACTAGAGTGCTTGCCTAGCATTCTTGAAGCCCTGGGTTTGATTCAGTCTTCAACGCCACATAAAACTAGACAAGGTGGTATGTAGCAGTGACTTTTATAAATGGATAGAATCTGGACTAGTGACTTTTAATTAACCCCAGCAAAACCATGTGTTCTTTTGTCTTGTGACCTAGACACCTGATCTCATTTCCCAGACAACCTCAGTTTGGTACTTTATCCACAAAGATAATGAATGAATAAATGAATGAATGTGGGGATACTTGAGAATTAACGTAGCAAAGCACTGAAAGGTAGTACCCCATCTCCATTGCACACAGTGGATACTGGGAAGGACCTGTGACCCCGTGTGAATAATATATTCTAGAACAACTGATGAAAAGGCCCAACGGTCTGTTAAGATTAGGGTGGAGCTAAGTTTGTACTCCAATTGAAGCTGGGACCCATTCTGAATGAAATTATGTGGGGCTGGGCCCTGGACACAATTCCAGAAACAAGAGTTCCAGACATTTCCATGAGCACAGTTCAGGAGACAGAGGGTTCCAGGAGATCTCCAGAGGAAATAGTGTCCTCTGAGTTCAGGCCCACTCTTAAAAACTAAATTTAAGAGTTAGGCTTTTTTCCCCCCAGATAATTAAAATGTTGCCGTAGTAACAGCACATAGGCACAGTGGCTGATAGGAAGATCGGGAGTTCAAGGTCACCCTGGGCTACATGGTGAGTTTGAGGCTTTGGAATGAGATCCCGTCTTAACAAAATAAAACAAATAAAATAAAATAAAATAAAATAAAAAACCTACAAATCTACCAGGTTCTAACAGAGCCCACTTGATCTCCCTCTACTTGTGTCTTTCTGCTGACATATATCAGGCCCAAGCCTTACTGACAGTTAATCTTGAAAGACCAGTCTCCTGGGACAGGCTCACAAGCCTATCAGGGAGCTCCTCCCCTTGGCTGCCCAAGGAGGAGCCAGAGGGACCCTTGTGTCCACAGAGGGTGTTGGGCAGAATACCAGAGATGAGGAATGAGGCCATAGGCGACAGGTCCCGGGAGACCCAAGGGCACCTTGAAGTCAGCAGGCCCCTCTGACCCACTTACCCCATGTCTGCCCTGGTTTGACACCAAATCCAATACAACTTATCAAGGGTCTGGCAGCCAAGCATGTGAGTTCAAATCCTGGCTCTTCCACTTTCTACCCAAGTGACCCGGGGCAAGGCAGTTCCCTTGTCTGTCTCTACTTCCTTCTTCCCACAGCCCTTCAGTCAACTACAGCATGACTTCCACACGGAGCAAGGCCATAGCTTATTAAACATCTGCTAGATGCATGTTATATTACATTTATGATCTCTTTGCCTAGCCAGACGGTGCTGCCACGTCTTTAGTCCCAGCACTTAGGAGGCAGAGGCAGGTAGATCTCTGTAAAATCCAGGCCAATCTGATCTACAAAGCAAGTTTCAGGCCAGCTGGGGCTACAGGGAGACCCTGTCTCAAAACAATAACAAAAAAGATCTCCATGCCTACCTGGGTATGGGGGCACATGCCTGTTAGCTACTCAAGAGCTAAGGCAAGGGAATTGAAAGTTCACGGGCTCAGTGGGTAAAGGGGCTTGCTGCCAAACTTGATGACCTGAGTTCAAACCCTGGAACTCACATGGTAGAAGGAGAGAGCTGACTCCCTCAAGTTGTCCTCTGACCTCTACATGTACACTGTGGCACTTACACACGCATACACACACACACACACACACACACACAAATAAAAATAAATTACACGCCAGGTGTGGTGGTGCACGCCTTTAATCCCAGCACTTGGGAGGCAGAGGCAGGGGGATCTCTGTGAGTTCAAGTCCAGCCTGGTCGACATAGTGAGTTCCAGGACAGCTGGGGCTACAGAGAGACCCTATCTCAAAAAAGACCAAAAAAAAAAAAAATTACAAAAAGAAAGTTCAAAGTTACCCTGGGCTAAATAGTGAGAACTTGTCTTAAAAATAAAGGGGTTGGGGCTGGAGAGATGGCTCAGAGGTTAGGAACACTGGTTGTGCTTGCAGAGGACCTGGGTTCAAATCCCAGTACCCACATGGCAGCTAACAACTGTCCATAACTCCAGTTCCAGGGGATCCAACAGCTTCTTCTGTCCTCTGAGGGCATTGCATGACACAGGTGTGCTTGCCTACACACAGGCAATACATGAATACACATAAAATAAATTAACTAAAAAATAAATAAATAAATAAATAAATAAATAAATAATAAAGGGGTTGGGTGATAATTCAGTTGGTTATAGGTTCTTGCCTGGCAAACACAAGGACCTGAGTTCAGATCCCCAGCATCCTTATAAAAGCTGAGTGTAGGGGCTGGAGAGAGAGATGGCTCAGCAGTTAAGAGCACTAGTTGTTCTTGCAGAGAGCCTGGGTTCTGATCCCAGCACCCACATGATGGCTAACAACCATCCATAGCTCCAATTCCAGGGGATCCAACATCCTCTTCTGACCTCTGTGGGCATTGTATGCACTTGGAGCACTTACATACTTCTAGGGAAAACAACACACATAAATTTAAAATGTTTTATTTTAGAAATAAAGTAGAGAGCTGGACATGGTGGCACATGCCTGTAGTCCCAGCACCTGGGAGGCAGAGGCAGGCAGATCTCTATGAGTTCAAGGCCAGCCTAGTCTATACAGTTAGTTCCAGGGCAGCTGGGGCTATAGGAAGACCCTATTTCAAAAAGACCAAAAATGAAATGAAATAAAAAAAATAAAGCAGAAAGCCAGATGTGGTAGCACAGTCCTTTAATCACAGCACTTAGGAGGCGTTGGCAGGTGAATGGATCAATGTGAATTCAAAGCCAGCCTGGTCTACAAAGCATTTTCCAGTCTAGCCATGACTATACAGTGAGACCCTGTCTCCAAAACATAAAAAGTCAAATTAAATAAATAATAAAACTGGGGTGGCTCAGTCAGTAAAGTGCTTATCATATAAGCCTGAG